ATTCAAATGAATGTGTTATTAGCGAAAAAAACAGCAACAGCAACAACAGTGAAGTGAGAGAAGCGATTGAAAAATGGACAAGTTATACAGACCATCCAGTCACTTTTTGATAACAAAAACAAAGCGATCGAAGTATCCAGTTATGGTGTGTGCTTTGCACCTTCCAAGTACAAAGTGCTGGTTTAAGACTGGTAGGAACCTGTGCCTGCACTCACCTTCGATGGTGATCAGCTGGAAGTAGTTGAAAGCTTTTAGTACCTCGGGAACTTGATCGCAGCTGGTGGGGGTGTTGGAGGGGAAATCACATAATGAATAGCGAAAGCTAGAACAACTTTTGCCAACCTGTGACATCTGCTGCCATGACATCCGACTGTCCCTTAAGGGAAGGGTGTACCTCACCGCGGTTCGTAGCATTGTACTTTATGGCTGCGAGACCTAGCCCCTACGCGTTGGGGATGCTAATCGACTTACTGTATTCGAACATCGAAGTCTCCGAAGCATTGCTCGCGTCTGGTGAGAGCACTGGTTGAGTAATGACGAGGTTCGTCGTCATGTGCTAGGTGCGGATAGTCGTTCTCTAACTGAAGTAACCGCTATAAACCGCTTTCGATGGTTTGGTCACCTATTGCGTATGCCTACCCATCGACTTTTTTTCCGTGCTCTCTTTGCATGTGCCGGGCAAAGCTGAAAGAAGCGCCGCGGCGGTCAGACCATGACATGGCGTAGAGGTATGAAGAAGCTGGCCTCTGCTTTGGTTTCGATTGGTGCAGCCCGCCTACCAGGTTGGGGCTCAAGGGTTGAGGATTGTCTTTGGTTAGAGACACTGAAAGATATTGCCCAGAATAGAAGTCAGTGGCGCGAATGCTGTCTGTCGAAATTCCGTGCCCCGTAAAAAGCGACAAGCAACACAAAAAGTATCAAAATGTACGGTGAAACACCCAAAATGCTTTTGTTATCCCAACTATTCACCATTTTCTCGTGTTTATCTGTTTCAACTTCCTTCCACTTTATTCGGTATCTTAACCCACCTACCCCTTATTATTGTTATTCCTATTATTGTTGGAACTTTCTCGAGATCCAAGGTGATTTTGCTCTTCTTCAACATATACAACAGCAGGTTCGTCGTTTTCTAAAAAATAACATTCGAAATGGACAGAGTTTATACTACAATCGCGCAAAGCATTCAGAGTACCTACTGAGAATTACTCCGATCCCCAAAGGAACGTCAAAAGCCCAAATAGCGAAGCGTTTCAGACCAATTACTCTCACTTCCACTGGTTTCAAAGTGTTGGAGCGATCAGTTCTGCACCGTATTCAGTTATCCCTTACCACCCCCGATGACACTTATCAGTTTGCATGCAAACATAACTGATATACATTAGATACCATTTCTTCTCTAGTTAATTTCATCTCTAAGTCCCTTAACGAGAAAGCCAAAGATGTGCATTGTGCGTCTCTGGACTACTCTTCCGCTTTCGACTCTGTGCCCCGTTCTCTTTTACTAAAAAAGCTCCAATCTGTTTGCTGTCCTGTTTCTCTTCTTAAATGACTTGCTGATTACTTTTCGCAAAGATATCAGTATGTTAAATGGGGAAGAAAACAGTCAACCGCATCACTCAATAGCTCGGGTGTACTTCAAGGTGCCGTCCTATCGCCCAATATTTTTTCGACTTATATCAGTGACTTATCTGTTATTCTCCCTGTTCGACATTTTAAGTATTCTAATGATATCGCCATTTCTGTTTCCGTATCTAACCAATCAGAACTGACTGAATATAACACAAACCTATACCATCTCGTTTCATATTCCACTTCTTCGGGTCTTGATATTAATCCTGTAAAATGCTTTGAATGTATTTTCACTCTAAACCGTACCACATCTCCCTCTGACAATGTTCATATTCATGAAAAGCCGATGAACAGGGTTAGTCATGTGAAGTACTTAGGTGTCACACTTGAAAGTAACCTTCGCTGGTCCTTACATACCCAAAGTGTTGTTCGCAAGTTGAAAAGTCTCTCTTTTCAGCAAAGAAGACTGCGCCACTTCTGTTCTGACTCGTTGGTGATAAACACTTTCGTACAACAATGTGTCTTCCCTATACCCCTGTACTGCTCTCCTGTAATTTTCCCTGGTTTGTTAAAGGCTGATTTCAAGTTGCTGAGGCGTGGCCTCTCAATGATCAGCCGTGTCTCCCAAGTTCCTGTATCCGTTCTGATGGGCAATATGTGTAATGCCCATATTGATGCGGGCTTGAAGTTTGCACTCATTGACTTGTGTGCATGCAAATCCCACCCCTCCACCCGTTCCAAGTACAAACTTATCCCGTCTCGCATATCCGCATACAGAAACTCTCTGTTACCCTATCTTGCCCTGATACTGACCGACAAGGAAAGTGTTCGTTCTGAGCTTTCTAATGCATTCAGTAAGTAATTCATATTGTCGTACGTTTCACATCCAACTTTTCCCCCTGTTTATACCAGAATTATAACGGTGGTCTTTTTTGGCTGAAATCTTGTATATAACTCACTGAAGCTTGAATGCAATACCATACAACACATTGATCTGTTCATCATAAACAGATTGGGCAACTTTACGTCTTGTCTACTGGTCACATTAATATCAAGGAAGTCGTTGATTTTCGTATCCTTTATGAACCAGCTATTTGGATGAAACCGTTTTAGTTCGCCCAAAATTATCTTACATTCGTTTCAAATTTCTGTTAAAGGATGTCGTCGACGTATCTTTTTACAGGATAGCACTCTCAAGAATGTTATTTGTTTGTTTTTGTTGTTGTTCGAGATGTTCTACGAACAGGGATTGATATGCCTGGGCGCGGCCAATGGCCAATAAAGAACCATCAGTTTTGATGTGGTGTATCTTCTTTGAGAAATGAGACACATTGTTTGTGTAGATTAGCGAAGAATGCTTGAGGACGGAAAGCGGTAGACACCAATTTAATAGATCACATATTAGTGGTGTTGTGATGTAGTACTTACAGTTGTGAGTAAGCAAGAAAATGTGATCGACAGGTTCTTACAGTGGTCAAAAATGAACAAGACTTCCTGAAACGAATTAATGTGTTCAAAATGATAGCTACTCAAAATGCACATCTCTATCGGACACTTTCGTCCATTATCCTGCGTGCTTGTCGAAATTACGTTTTCCCTATTCAAGATTAGACGCTTAGGTTTGTTAAGCGTTATTTACTCGTACCCGTATCGTTCTTCCGAGTGTAATGTTTCCCTCAATCTGGCACTGTCTTTTAAAAATACAACCGCTGTTCTGTCTAGAATTTCGGTCATTACCAGTCAACTGCTTCCCCCTACGTCACACAATGTTACATTCTGTCCTGTGTAATTTCAGTCCACGGACAATCCGGCAGTGGCCATTGAAGAAGGCGGACTGATGCCCTTGGG